AACCATAAACTCTTAGAAAGTCATGTTTGCTGCCCCCAAAAAATAGATGTTAGAATGAGCTTTCTCCCAATCACTGAAACTCAATCATATAAATAATTACTGTATACTCATGTGTTCATTTTGGAATAAAATGTAAAATTCAATGCAACAACTTAATAAAAAATAGGAATCATATTATAATTTCGTATAAATGGATATGCATAATTAAGATAAAATTAATATTATAAATATCAAATAATAAGAACAATATTGTTTTTAGATAAAAGTTTCACAAACTCTTAATTATCATGTGTAAATTTTAATCAAATATATCATTAACTTCTTGGTCAATTTTAGAATTTTTAATTATAATTAGATTGACAAATCATTATACCTCCTCTTAGAATATAAAGGTTGGAATGTAAAAATAGGGTGATAAAATAAGTTGTACTTGTAGGCCAATTCGGCATTGTTTAGGTAAAGCATATTAGTATTTTGAACTCAGCATTGGCTTGGTTTGCTTAATTCACCAACTTGTTCGATTATATGCATGACGAGGTTAAACAAGCTAGTCTGCCAACCCGTCAAATTAATTGTTGTGTGTAAAGGTCAACTTCAAAAGTGTTGAACATAATAAGAAAAGTGACAAGTTTATAACATTTTATTGTTAAAAATTTTAAATCTATATGTGTAAAGATGGAAAAGAGAAGGTAAGTGTAATTATTATAACAAAACATGCATAATTATGGTAAAAAAAATGAGACTTTTCATCTCAAGTGTCATATTGAAATATGTAATAATAGCAAATATAAAGATGATTGGTAAAATGATTTTATAGATGCAAGGAAAGTTGAAGTGAAAAAAATAAATGAAATGGTGTCATGATAGTTGTGTGCTAATTTAATTATCTAACATGGTTTTCCATTTAAATTTGTTAAGTATCAAGACTTGAATAAAATATTTAAATTCCGATGTAGCTTTAATTTCTAGGAATACTATTACGAGTAATATATTGAGAATATTTATGATAGAAAAAACAATCAAGAAAGAGTTGAATGCCATTATTAGTGTGATTTTCATAACTTCTTATTTATGCACATCTTACCCTAAGAGTTATATAAGTTTGACAACACGTTACATTAATTCAAATTAGAAGTAAACTAGCAAGATTATTAACTTTTGTGATACCTCACATTGGATTTAAGTTAATCTAAAAATATAAATGCATTTTGCGCGATTTATGAATTTAGAAAAAGAAAGTTATATTATTTTGGATAATGCTTCTAGCAATGTTGCAAAAGATTTTAAAAATTAAGCTTATTTTATAAATTTTGTTGACTTGTGATGGTGAGTTTTTTAATGTCTATATTGATGTGAACACAATTTAAAAGTGACTACTTTAGAAGAATTAATGGTACATTACAATTTAAAAATGATTGTTTAAGAAGGATTAATGGTGTTTGATGATGCTTTAGATCAAATTAAGAAGAATGTCATATATGTTATATGGGTTTTGAGAATAGAATGACTAAATCTAAATAATGTCTTCAAGAAAAATTAGAGACATTGTTGTGTGAAGTGGATTGTGTGCAACTATACTTATTTGATATTTCAAATTCTTATTAAATATTAATGAATTTATTTACATGTAATTGATGAAGTTACAAGTATATTTTTTTTGAGGAAAAAAATAAAAGAGAGTAAAAAACATTAGTGTTTTCCTATAAATCCATAATCACTATGAATTCAACTATTTATATTCTTGATCAAATATATTTAAAAATCTATTAAAAATACTTGAAGAATTATCATGAATCTTGAAGATGTAAAGTGTTCTTGTATAGTGTCTAATGCATAGAATGATGATTATATATAAGTTTTATACAAGTTAACTTGATCTTGTATTTAGGAAACTCTCTTGTATTACAAAGAATTTTTCTTAATAATAAAAATCATTCTCACTAAAATGTGTTTTTAATCAAGTAAAAGATTCTTGGTAAGACTTCAAGAAACACTTTAATTAATTAAAATATTAAATTAATAAATAAAAATTACTTCAAAAAAAACTTTAAGCGATTATGATCTTCATGTATCAATAGATTAAAATCATTTAGTGTCAAATTTATGCTTTGATCTTCGTATTTTAATTGTTTAAATAAAGTTTTTAATCAATTAAAAAATTATTTAATGTCTTGTTTGACCTTTTTTGAATTCTTCTATTTTAATTTGTTAAAATGAAAAATTAATAAATTAAAATAACTCGTGGTTTTAACAAATTAAAATGAAAATTTAATCTATTAAAACTTTGAATAATTCTTTTGGGACTCTTCAAAACTACACTAATCAATTAACATCTTTTAATAATTTTCTTTAAGCAAAACATCATCGATATTCTTATGGAAGAAGTTTAAGCATCTTACTAGTAATGCTCTACGGTAGCTGAGATAGAATTTATAAGTTGACATGAAGTACAAGGTCCGGCATAAACTCTTTAGGATTTAATACTTTAATTAGAAGTTTAATTTTTATCATTAATTTATTGTGAATAAATAATTAAAAGAAATAATAAATAAATAAAATTAATAAACTTAAATTTTAATATCAACTAAAATATTTTATTTCATATATTATTCTTTTAAAAAGTAACCTTTTTCATATAAAAAATGATAATAATTATTTATTTTCATTTTAATTTATAAATTTGAAAATTTATATTTTACATTTGATTATTATTAAACTATTATTTTATAAATTGTTTTTAAATACATTAATGTATAACCAACTTTTTTTCAATCACTCCTGATAAAACTTTCCCCTCCCTTTATTTCAATTAAAAGAATCTTATTTTCATTCTAATGACAATCGTATATGGAGCATACAATAAGAATCTTCAACAACTTTAGATAAAAACAAAATGCTAAAACATTGCCCGAAACATGTATAACTTTTTAAATAAACTTCTGCATATCTTTCTTTCCTTGTTCATCTGGAAGTATCTATCCAAAGGTTTACCCACACAGAGCATACATCTATTATAAAAATATGTAAAAAATAAGAGAGCACAGCAGAAGATTTCTAAGTCTTTCCCCAGTTCATGACAACTCCAATATAAAGCAAAAATCCTCACATGATCAATAAGAATCTTTACAACTTTTAGAATAATGTAGAAGTTATGCAAAACTACAATAGTCATGTATGTATTGCAGTTATTAAGTTCAGTTACATTGAAAATTTATTCATGGTTAAACCTTCGAAGTATAAATTCCATCAAGCACCATTCAAGAATTCCACAAAATTAAGATTCGAAATATGAAAGAAAAAGAGACAAAAATATCGAAAGCAAAAAACAAAAAAACTAAAAGTTTCACATTAACAGCAAGAAATATAAAAAAGAATACAAAACTAGGGTTGTGGAAACACTGTACAATGACCAGTTGACCAAAGCTACATCATTCCGACATCCCTTGTAACATTCTAGAAAACAAAAATATGAATCTCGAGTCGAAGGTTTACATCGTGCTTAAAATCCAAGTTTAGTGCGGCGCCAGTGCCTGCGCTTAGCATTGTACCTGACCAGACACAGAATCAAAAAAACTGGGTGAGAGTGAGTCACAAAACTTCTAGAACAAGTTAATGATTGAAATTGTTGAAACCTGATGGTGTTATCGGTCCTCATGCGGATCCAGTAAGGGATGGGTCTGTTCTGCCTCATCTTCTTCGCGAGCTTCTTCTTGATCCTGAAAGTTTTGTGAGAAGGCTACAAAAAATTCCGGCACATGTCAGAATGAAGAATGGTTCCAATTAGCATAAACAGTAAACGAATGAGATTCTCCCTCACCATTTTCGCTGCGGATTGTCGACCACGCTACGCAGCAAAACCAGGTTCCACAGCTTCTGAGCCAAACCCTGGTTCTTGAAGCAACTAAAGCACAGATTGGACCGGGTTCTGTGATTTTGTTGCTCGAAACCTACTAATTGGGCTAAAATAAGCCCTTTATTGACATCCGGAACTTAATAAAGGCTTGGCAAGACAATTGCTTCATGTAATTTTTTATTTTGCATATACACCTCCCTCTCTATGTCAGTGACGTAGTTGTTACGTTACTCAACTATATTATCTCGTTATATATTATTATTTTATTTTTCATAATTTTACGGTTTTATAGTTTTGTCATATTATCATTTTATGATTTTATGTAATTTTATGGTTTTAATCGTTTTAATTGTCTTTAAATAATTTTAAACAACACTTTTACAAATGTGATTTATTTGTTAAAATTAAATCTTAGATAATTCTTATAACAATTAGACTATACTTATAACATTTCATTTCAAGAAAGGTTCTCAAACCATTAAACCTCTATATATTCTTTTTATAATTGAAGATAACATGAATGAAACTAGAAATGTAATTAGAACTACTATAATATATATATATATATATATATATATATATATATATATATATTATATATATTATTTCATTATCTATTTTAAAGTAAATACTTGATATGTTATTATAAATAATGATCAAAAGATAACTTTTTTGTTACAATTTTTTAACAAAAAAAACTAAACGAAAATAAGAATATAAAATATGTAGTTTTTTTTTTCCTAGCAAATCTACCCGTATTTAGAATATATTTGTCAGGTGTTATTTTGTATATATATATTTAAATATGACAGTTATTTAAATTGTTTAAGGTTAGGTGAAAAACTTTGCTTGGAGATGATTTTTAACGGGTAAAAATTATAATGTTAAACGTCACCAATATCATATTTCTTTTAGTTACATAGTAAGAGTTCAAGAGCAAAATGAAATCTTTGATACAGTATTTGGAACCAAGAGCTATGAAGAAAGAAGAAGAACGAAGGAAGAAACTGATTCTCATTGATTACCACTTTCACACAAAGAGGTATTCGTACAGAAAGATTTGTTACCATGCCTATGAACTTCATGGTCTGCTCTTCATATAATTTTTATCAGAGCTATAGTTTATGATATCCAGAGTAAATTTTAGCAGCGAAAGAGACATAGTGCTGTAAATTAGTAACATTCATGTATAGTATGACATTAATTTTCTCCATCATAAAGGTTCTCAATGAATTTTGTTGGTCCATTTTTGCACAACTGATGTTGTTTGACTTGTGCAATCTTATCATAGTCATCTTTTGAGAGCGCCCAATCAAATATTTCAATATTTTGCTTCATTCTTTCTATATTATAGCTCTTAACCACAATAGTGACTCCTATCTCATACAACCATCTGAGAGATACCTATCATCGTAGAAAACCTCATTAAGGTTAGCTAACCACGTATACAAACATGTGTTCATGAAGTTGAAGTATGAAATCTTTACCTGAGCAAACGATTTGCCATGAGCTTTTGCAATTTGCTTGACCAATTCATTATCGACAACATAGTTGGAGCCCCACAAGGTCCCTGGTGCCCCCAAAGGAGAGTATGCAGTTATGATTATTCCTTTGGCTTGACAATATTCTCGCAGTTTTTTTTGTTGCCAAGTAGGATTCATCTCAACCTGTTTGATCATATAAAAATAACCAAAAGAGGGGTTATCGTTTCAAAAATAGAAAAATATCTCTTGATAGAACTTATGGACTTACTTGATTGACAGAAGGAGGAATAGTAGCAAAAGAGAGGAGATTTTCAAGTTTATGACAACTGAAATTGCTCACTCCAATTAATTTTGTAAGGCCTTGCTTTTGACACTCCTCCATTGCTTGCCACACACCCTTTAAGTCAAATGATGTTAGGGCCTCTTCAGGAAAAGGAAAATCCCAATTTCCAGGTTTCACAGATATGGGCCAGTGAATTAAATAAAGATCCACATATTCCAACTTCAAAGACCTGCATTAGTTTTCGGCTCCACATAGCCCAATTGTGTGACTTTAATATTCAAAATTACACTCTATCATTTTATCTATTATTAATTAAAATTTATTAAAATTATGAAATCAAGAGAGAGAAAATTATTAATACTATGTTTGATAATAATATTAGTCGGTAATATATTACTATTCTAACCAAAATTATTCTCAAATAGGATAATTTATGTAAAAGCAATTGACGAATTTTGTACTTACTGAAGTGTTTTGTGGATAGCGGGAAGAACAAGATGAGAAAAGTTATCAGTGCACCAAAGTTTGGAAGTGATGAAGAGTTCGTCTCTGGAGGCTATGAGACCAAGTTGAAGTGCTTCAGCTATGGCTTCTCCAAGAGGTTGCTCAGAACCATATATTGAAGCAGTATCAAAGTGTCTGTATCCTATTTTGATAGCTTCTAACACTGCTTCTTTGGTATCAATGGTGGAAGATGTTGAAGCAGTGCCAAATCCAACCACAGGCATTTTGTGATAGTTGAAAGAAGATTGAATCACTATATGAGGAATGTTTGATGAAGACATGTCACAATACAAGATGAATTCATATTCTGTAGAGGAGAAGAAACCTTGCATCTCCTTTTATAGACACAAGGAACCTTGCATTTCCTTTTATAGACACAGACTTAATTTCCATAATTGAAAACTACACATTTTCTTAGATTGTGTAATGAGTAATATTTGGTTATTTTACATGTTATATACAAAGGGCATATAAGATTTTATGTATGTAAGGATTATACGTATATGCCATAAAATTTAACCCTTCTAAATAGTGTCGTGTACGTAATTTACATTACGTAGCTATATCAGTATAAAATGACTAAAGATATTTTGTCATAGTCAGCATTAAAAACCTTTCAAATTGGCTTTTCTTCAAAACAAAGATCATGACAGATATGTAGCAAGAAATGATAAATATCAGCAGAGTTTATGGTTTTAATAGGAAAAAGAGTAATTTGATTCCATTTTATTGTTTGGTTTTATCATAATAAACAAAGTTAGTTTGTTAGGAGTGAGTCTTATAGTCCAAGTTAGCCCATTATTAGATTCAAATTTAACTGTAGAAGTTGACCTAATCCACTCTAAACCTGCCGATAAAAAATAATTAAATCCACCCTAACCTCTAATAAATATGTTAATTTGATTTTAATAACTATTCTATTAGTTTAAACTAATTAACGGTGTTAATATGTTAATTTTAATAACGTCACATATTAACATCCACGTAAGTATATATTATTAAAAATACTGGGGAATAAAATGAATATATTTATTGAATATTAGAGATAAAAAAAAAAAACTCGCAATATTTTGGAGATGTCAATTTAAATATATAGGATAACTTTAGAATTACTGAAAATTCATTTAACCATGTAAATAGAAGTTATAGCAGTAAAAAGAAATTACCCTAATAAGCTTTGAATATTTTTCTTGTTTAAAAGTCAACTTCATCTAATTTTCTATGAGTGTGAACTTCATCTTAAAGTATTAGGCGATGGAAACCAATGAAAAAAAAACTCGCATCTTGGAAATGAATTTTGTGATGAAGTTGAAGTAGTCCTATCAAGTTTACTATTATATTTCTTGTCGTTTTCAAAAGGAAGTCACAAAAATGTTGATAGAACTCAAAAATCCTTCTTATCGGTTAGTAGTGGAAATGCTAACATGTTTGGGTCAGTTGGGAACAAATTTGTCAGCCAAATGTAGTGGAGGATTAGGCTAAAATTTAAAACTTTTACTTATTTATTAAACTTATATAATAAAATATGATAATTGAGTATTTTATTTCATTGATTTGTTTAGGTTCTCTTTGCATAATCTACAATCTATATTGACTAACGATGAGATAAGATAGGTTGGTCTACATAACTTGAATTGACTTAAATTTTTAAAATTGAGTAACACCAACATAGCACATGTACGTTTCTTATAAGTATGGTCACTCATTCACGTTCCTTCTCTTCTCCATTCTAAAGCAGTTTCTTACTTTACTTTTCTTCTCTTGACCAATAATTTTGGAAGGGTCAAAATAATATAATCAAAATATATATATTTAATCATTGTTACTAATACAATAAAAATAAGTACATATCACATATGATTAAATGATGTCTTTGGTTCAATCAAATTATTGAACTCATTAATATGAATCAAAACTTAAATTTTTCAGTTATTTCTTTGTCAATATTGATTACCATATCATCATTCATTTTATTTTGCAAATCTTGTTTTATAATCTTCATTGCAAAATATGATCTTTACTATAGTCATAATAGATTAAAATAAATACAAATTAAGCAAGAAACCAAGTAGAATGTTTTGAACTTTCCTGTTCTTGTCAAAGATTGACATAATTCAAACATAGTTGATTAATTCTTCAATTTTGATGGTTAGGAGCATCAACAATAAAATGTTAAAGGCAAAATTTTAAAGTAATGTTCTCTAAAATCTAGAAGATAAGATTTGTTCTTATTTATCCTTTATGTTAAAAACCTTTTAAGCATCTGACTGTGAAAAAGCTCTGTAAGCATCCTTAAGATTTAAAGATAAACTATCAAATTTAAAAATGGATCATGAAAAAACACATCAATTAATTTTTCCTCTTAACCTCATAAAAAAAATTATGTGTAAAAGACTCGTGAGATAAAAATGTTATGGTATGAAAGAAACACAAATGGACTCTAATTTGAGAAAAAGATAGGACAATAACAGCGAGAGAAATGAAGACGCTAATGTGAGTAATAAAGATGACCATTAAAAATGAGCAGGTGAACTTTTCAATCTTAGATGGAGAAAATGATAGAAGCCATCAAGAAAGAAATGCTAAGGAATGAAAAAATATTTTCAAAATTATATTTTTTTAATAATTTTTTATTTAAAATCCGTATATATAAATTTCATATAAAAGGTATGTTTATATTTACATATGGATTTTATATTAAAAAGAGAGAAAAAAAACTAGTTTGTTGTTAAACAAAAATTATGTAATGATATTTTATATGTAAAAAATCTATGTATAAAATTCATATATAAAACTTAATTAATTTACATATTTTAATCTGTAGATAATTTTGATTTTTCTTAGTGTTACTTTTTAGCTATATAGTAATATTTCATAACGTAGTTCATATTATGATTTCTTGAAATATTGTTGTTTCAATTTATGTAAAAATGTGGTTTCAATTGTTTTATCTTCTTTTCATTTATCTGAAAATCATTAGGATTAGTTTTTCACCTTTTGAATTTCTTTTATTTTTCATTTTTATGTGATTAATCAATATGTACTTGGAAGTTATATTTCTCATTTTAACATGTTCAACAATTTCAAATTATTATGATGAATCCTAACAAGTTTAATTATCCTTTCAACAATATTTAGTATCACAATATCAATAATACGTGTATTGTCATAAATATTGCTATTCCTTTGTTTTGAACAACCATCTTTAATGGAGTTTGTGAGGCAATTGATTATAAATTGACATGAAATTTGAACATAATAGAGAGACTAGTCAATTTAATGTATAAAATTGTTCATCCTTCAATGAAAGTATCATGTCAATTGGTACAAATAAAAATTTGGAGACGTTGCAATCATACTCAAGACTTATTATTGATTAAAAGAAGAAATAAAATATTAGGATTTCTTCTAAAATGTACCTCAAACTCAGTTTTCAAACCTAATAGACATTATACTTCTTGTTTTGGGTGTAGGGTTAGATATTACACTTAAATACCTCTTTACATCAAGTCAGTATTTTAGTTGATCTGTTGTCACACAATAAAGTCTTAAATTCACAGTAACTGAAATCATTCACCTGCTTACCTCATACTTGTATTGATAAATATCGAGATGTGTTTATAATTAATAGTACTATAATTACGGCTCAATACTTAATAAGTAAAACTTAGTTGTAAGTTTGATTAGTAATTGTGCTTAAAGTTTCTTAGGATTTGTGACCGCTTGATTATGACGTTTTCTTAACCGACCGGTCATAACTTGATCGTATGATGAATTGTATACTCTTTATAACGAGATAAATCACATCTAAATTTGTTTTAGCTTAAGCAGTTTCTTTTTAAAAAAACTTGAGTTTTAAGTAAAGTTTCATCTTGCTTGTGTTACTAGTTTTTAATACATTTTTAGATATAGCATTTAAATTTATTGAAGTAATATAATATATATATATATATATATATATATATATATATATTATTTATACAAAATCATTTAAAAATTATATTTTTTTTTTCAGAAATAATCAATAAAAGCTATTCAAAGATAAGGTTCCTTGGGTGGCCTTATGTAGCAGCGTGACCCAGTGGCCCTTTAGCACCCTTCGTTCTGCACAACAATACTGATAAGATTCCAGAAATACCAAAAGGGAGACACCACACTGATGCGTTTCATCTCTATAAAATTCACTTTTTATAAATTAAAATTAATTTATAAAATGTATCTCCTATAACTTTTCAAAAGATTTGTTTAAAAATATAAAGAAGGTCATTTTAATTTACTTGAAGATTTTCTTAAAAAGAATGTGTCAAAGTTTTATAGAGAAATTGAGCCCCACACACATCACTTCAAACCGTCACCATGGAAGCCCACTCAACCACCATTATTTTCTGTTGAGTAAGCAAAGCCTATACTTTTTCTTTTAAGTGGTTTTTAGGTTAGAATGTATGATTGGAAAGGTTATAAATTATAATCAAGTTTGATGAACCTTCTAGAAAATAACAAATATAATAGAGTATTGACTAAGGAGGGAGTACTTTCCTGTAAAATTTTGGTTTAATTACTCTTTAGATTTTAGTTTTCATCTAAAAATATTAAATCGATTTTTTATTTCTTTTAATCTCAATTTAGATTTGGTTTATGAAAAAGTGATGCTATTAGGTTTTTTTCATCAGTATTATACAAATGGAATTAAGAGAGTGTTACATATCAATTTGTTATTTTTTTATTTTTTTTTAAGAATTTTTTTGTCATGTGTTACTTCATGATTGTGTAAGAGAGTCTCAATTTAGTTCTATTCAATTTTTTTCTATATTCTTAAATTGAAAAAAAAAATTATAGAAATCTTAAAGTTAAAAATTGAACTAAATTAAATAAAAAATAAATATAGAGATTGAATTAATAATTTTCCATATGTTAGGATACACTAATAATATCACGTATATCAAAATATAAAGTGACGCATGGGAAAAAAATTTCAAAAAGAAAACAAATTAAAAAATTGAATAAAAAAATAAAAGTTTACACCTGACATTTCTAACACTGTTTGTATTGTATTAATAGAAAAAAAAACTTAATTGCATCAATATTTCATAAACTTACTTGGATCAAATTGAGACTAGAGAATCAACTTGACATTATTATTAGACGAAAGTTGTCATCAAAAGATTATATAAATGAATATAAATTTTACTTTACAAATCAGTTTTATAAGATTAAATTAAATTTGAAGTTGAATTGTTAAAAACATTCACTTATAATTCATTTACATTAAAATTTATATTGT